AACTCCCATTACCTTAGGCAATAACCAAATGTGGACAAAGCCTGGGACTTGTCTAGATTTTCCCAAGAATGTAAACGTTATAGCATTAGCCCACCCCTGGCAGCCCTAATCAGTTAGAAATGTACCAATATGATTGTCACTTATGTAAGAATGATCATACTGTTTTTAGTATTCCTCTAGTTGTGTATAAAATAATCTGGAAGCTTTCCTTGGTGCTTACCATTTGCTATTTCTGCCCCTGTGTTGGATGTGTGGCACTTCTATTCTCGAGATAATAAATGCTCTTGCCAATTGCATACTTGGATGGTGGTCTTTCATGGGACATCTCCAAGACCCTAACAGCAGGACAGTCCTTCAAAGCTCCTGCTTCACAGAAAAGTCTGTCAGATATTCTAGGCCCCTAGGCTGAAGATTGAGGACCCAATGTTACAGAGGAACCTTGGGTGACTGTCCAGGCAGCCAGCTGTTTCTGTCATTTCTCATAGCTTTGGTAGTTGCCTGCTCTGCACTTCCTGATTAATCAGGTAATATTGTATCCTTCTCCAGTTTTGATGGGGTTGAAGATTAGATAGTTATGGTTACAGTTTTCCTTAGTCATGATAGAAAGTAAATTAGGCACAAAATTTTGGACTTATCAAGAGAGGATAGATAATGGAGTATTGTCTCTGAACTTGCCAAATACAAGTGGATTGGACATTGTGAATGTAATTCTTACTTGGTAAATGTTCTTATTATATGTGGTTTTGCTATGTTAGAGTTAAAACCCTTCCTTTTTATTTAGACAGAAAGGGTGAGATCAGTTTGTGTTGATTGCTCAGAGACCACCAATAGAGTCCAACCTCAGTTTGGAGAATGGAGTCCACATTCAGCTGGCTGGGGTGGATCATAGAGTTCCCTGGAGGATTCATCAGGAGATAGAAGGACACAGGGAGGAGGAAGAGAAGGGGTGAAGGGATTGTTTGACCCTTTCGATTTCGGAAGTGGAGAGAGGTGGGATTGTGTCTCTGTTGCTCTCTGGATCTCTCGGGTTTACCCCCTAATATTTATTGTTGAGTTTTATTTTCTAATAAAATAAAAAAGAAATAACAATAGGGTGTTTGTTGGAAATGTGAATTTTAGGACCTGCCTCAGACCTACTGAATGACAAGCAGGAGGGTAGAGCAATTCCTGATTTAATGTCTCTTTCAGATGATTTTGAGAGCCATGGGGCTGGTGAATTTGCTGTGCTCTGTGTAGTGGGAACACCTGAGAACCCAACTTGAGCTGCTTGGCAGAACTTCCTGACAGGATCTCTTAAAATCAGCACTCTGGGTGCTGGAGAGATGACCCAGTAGTTAAGGACACTTGCTATGTTGTGCCAAAATTGTGAACCCCCAAATTACCAAGAGACCTGTTTTGATGCAAAATCAGAGTTTTTTATTATTTGACGAATTATTTGTATTAACTCGGTTCCTCTGTCTTCCGACACAGTGTGTGGGGGGCTAGAAGGACCTGAAGGAATGTTATTGGGACAGAGCAAGGAGAGTGTCTGGGGTCTGCAACAGTCTCAGGATTGGTGCACTTCTGGGCTTGGGCGACCTGTCCTGTGTTGATTGGTCAACTGGTTGCTATGGCCTATAGGCCCTCCCAGGGCGGTTGCTGTGCTTTGTTTGTCACTGTTACCATTAAGCACAATTAGAGTCCTGCCAGCTAACTTCTGATTGGTTCCTTACATGGAGGACATCTGACCTCCTAGTGATTGGGGCAGGTCTGGCAAGGTCTGAAGGTTGGAAACTCAGTGACTTGTGCTGAGTCAGAGGCCTACATCTTGCTGGGTCTTTTCTGTTATGGCTGCTAAAGCAGGGAGCTGGATGAGGGTCTGTTCCCAGCATCCACATGGGAGCTCATTACCACCTGTAAGTACAGTTCCAGGGGATCCAGCACCCTCCTCTGACTTCCAGGCATGCTCCTGCATGCAAACAGAACACATAAACTCAGGCAGACACAGACCTTTAAAAACAAACAAACCCCAACACTCTTTTTAGGAAATCAGGTTAGAGACTGGAGCAAGAATCACCACATATTTAGCCCTCTGGGGCTTTTGCAGTTGCTGTCTCTTCCCCTCCATCTTCTATCCCAGTAATCTCAACCTGCTTAATGCTGGGACTCTTTAATACAGTTCCTCACATGTGGTGACCCCAACCATAAACTTATTTCATTGCTACCTTACAACTGTAATTTTGCTACCATTGTAAATTGCAAATATCTGTGTTTTTGGATGGTCTTAGGCAACCGTCAAAGGGGTCATGGGCCACAGGTTGAGAACCACTGTTCTGTCTCAGCCCTTTGCTTCTTCCGTTCATAGCACTCTTCTTCACACAGTTAATGTATTCACCTGGTCATTACTTGTTTATTTGTCCTCCAGGGCAGAAACGACAAATTATTTTTGAGACAGTGTCTCTTTATATATTCCTGGCTGTTCTAGAACTCACCCTGTAGACCAGGCTGGCCTTCAAACTCATAGAGATTCACCTGCCTCTGCCTCCTGAGTAGTAAAATTAAAGGCCTGGGTCACCTGCAAAGCTCTTTTTAAACTGGCTGTTAGAAATTGTTTTTGCTGGAAAGTACTTAATTGGGCCCCAGGAAAACTAAAAGAAAGTTAAAAGCCTGGCATCTCTGTCTTCATTTTGTTGTCTCTGTTGCTTACACTGTCCTGTTCCAGATGCAAGTTTCCCCTCTACCTCCAAACCTGCAGTAAACTTGGATTACAGGAAAACTAGAGCTGTCAGAAATACATAAATATGACAGGCAACCACAAGCCTCAAAGAACAGACCATTCCCCAAATGAGGGCAATTATCTGTGATAAAGGGCTGCTCCTTGAGGGGAAGACATTATCTCCAAGGCGGCAATTCCCTTCTCTAGTGAGGACTGTAAATAAGTTCCTTCAACCTTGCAGAACCAGGTCTGCTATGACACCACTACACCTTGACCAAGACTGCCTGATGGCCATACCTCTTGCCCTTTGTCCCATTCTATTTAAATCAAAAGCTCACTCCAGTATTGGAAAGAATGGTGACTTTATTCAGGGTCTTACCAGACCCCTCTATCTGTTTCTTTCCCTAAGTGTGGCTAATGATGTACTCAGGACAGCTCTGAGTGTGGCCCAACACAAAATTGTACACTTATTTGTCATGAGGGTTCTTTTGCATGTTTTGTTTGTAATTCCACTGTGTGGTGCTCAAGCATGAAATTTGTAGATGAAAACTTCATGTTGCAGCGTCAAGTGTAGTGAGTGGTGGTCTCTGTGTGGTAACAACATTCTTGTCTGGTGGCACCCACATCCTTAATTTCAGCACTCAGGAGCTAGAGGTAAGAAGATCTCTGTGAGTTCAAGGTTAGCCTGGTCTACAGGGTGAGTGCCAGACCAGCCAGGGCTCCATAGTGAGATCCCCTGTCTCAAAGACCAAATCCCTCCCAGCACTCAGGAGGCAGAGGCAGGTGGATCTCTGAGAATTTGAAGCCAGCCTGGTCTACAGAGCAAGTTCCAGGACAGGCTCCAAAGCAATACAGAGAAACCCTGTCTCAAAAAACAAAACAACAACAAAGCAACAAAAACCAAACAACCAGATCCCAATCCCAATCCTTTGTGCTGTGGTCAGTAGGTTGGACCTGCATTCTCCTGTCTCTACTGTTCTTTACTTCTCTTTAATTAGTTTATTGGGGAACCCCCCCAAAAGCAAACAAAACCCCCCACCATCTTCTAGCATCTGTAGTAGGCCCCAAGAGACCATTTTAAACCCCAGAGTCCTGTAACCCTAAAACTCCATTGCACCAATCTCAACCTGAACTACTTAGGAGCCCTCATTATGACAGGGTCTCTGTGGACCAGGTTGGTCTCACATCCATACCAGTCTTTCAGTCTTCCAAATGCCAGGTCTCAAAGGCATGAGCCACCATGCCTAGTTCAAAGTTTTTTATGTTTATGAGAAATCATGTCCAATTTCTCAAATAGACCAGCTTCTCTCTCTCTCTTCTTCTTTTCCATTTATTTGTTGTATTGGAGGGGGTGCAGAAAAGAAACTACAAAAATGGCTATTCCATTGGGGGAAGGGTTTTGTTTGTTTGTTTGCTTGTTTGATTTGGGTTTTTGTTTTTTTTTTAAGACAGGGTTTCTTTGTGTAGACTTGGCTGTTCTGGAACTAACGCTGTAGACCAGGCTGGCCTTGAACTCACAAGGATCTGCCTGTCTCTGCTTCTTGTGTGCTGGGTTAAAGTCCTGTGCCACCACCCAATTTAGATGGAAGGTTTTTGCTGTGAATAAGAGACAATATCTAGAGGCATCTGGAAGAGTCCAGAGCAGAAAGAAAAAGTAGACTGGACATGGCAGGGCTATCTGTAAGGGAAGCAGGAGAGTGGGGCAAGGTCATGGGTGGGGCATGGAAAACCATGTGGGTTATAAGGAGACCGAGTATCTAGGGGTGGGAAGCAACCCATGATTGAAGCAGGCCTGGGAGTTTTAGGGGAGAGGCGGAGGTGAGAAGGGCCAGGATGCTATTGTGGGGGTCTTTGGAATGAATAACAGGTGCTTGTGAATAGGAACTAAGGAGCCTGGAGGCTAGCATAGTATATGCTGATATTTGCCACAGATATAAGTCAATGGAGAGCCACAGGTTCCTTCTACCAGAGGTAAAGGAAATGACTCCATTTGGAGGATGGGAACCTGTTTCACACATCCTGAGGCATGCTGGCTTTTATCTATCCACAAGAAATCCTTCTGTAGTCCAGCTGGAGCTCATTTCTGGATATATAGACTGTCTGAGACATAGTGTGTGTGTGTGTGTGTGTGTGTGTGTGTGTGTGCACATACATACAAGCATGCATTCACACACCAGTGTGTGCATCTGTGTGCAAGCACATCTTGATGCTGGTGTGGTCAAAAGACAATTTGTGGGAATCTATTCTCTCTTGGGTTTTGTTTTAGTCATTGTTTTATTGCTGTGAAGAGACACCATGACCAAGGTAGGTTATAAAAGAAAACATTTAATTGGAGACTTGCTTACAGTTTCAGAGAGTCAATTGTTGTTGACATGCCAGGGAGCTGGAACAGTAGCTGTCTTAGGGTTTCTGTTGCTGTGAAGAGACACAATGACTAGACAACTCTTATAAGGAAACATTTAATTGGGTGGCTACAGTTTCAGAAGTTCAGCCTATTATCTTTGGAAGGGAGCATGACAATGTGCAGGCAGACATGGTGCTGGCTACATCTTAACCAAATGGCAACAGTAAGTGGACTGTCACACTAAGCAAAGCTTAAGCAAGAGACCTCAAACTCCACCCCCACAGTGACACACTTCCTCCAACAAAGCTACACCTACTTCAACAAGGCCACACCTCCTAATAGTGCTACTCCCTTTGGGATTGGGGGGTCAATTACATTCAACTACCACAGTAGCTAAGAGCTACATCCTGATCTACAGAGAAACTGAGATAGTGTATCTGGCATGGGCTTTTGAAAACTTAAGCCCCACACCCAGTGACGCTTCTTCCAACAAGGCCACACCTCCTAATCATTCTAATCCTTTTCAAATAGTGCCACTTTCTGATGACTAAGATTAAAATATATGAGCCTATGGTGGCCATTCTTGTTTTCTTTTTCTTCTCAAGACAGACTTTCTTTGTGTAGTCTTGGCCGTCCTGGAACTCACTCTGTAGATCAGGCTGACCTTGAACTCACAGAGATCTGTCTGCCTCTGCCTCTTGAGTGCTGAGTGCTGGGAATAAAGGTGTGTGTGCCACCACCACTATGAGGGCCATTCTTATTCAAACCATCACAGGCTGTGAGGACTGACTTTAGGTGGGGTTGTCAGACATAGTTACAAGTGCCTTTACAGGCTGAGCCATGTCACTGGCCCCTTGCTTAAAAAATTAATTTACATGTACATTTGTGTACCTGTGTGTGTATGCCATGTGGGTCTGGGTGTAGGTACCTCCAGAGTCCAGTAGAGGGTGTTGAATCCCTTGATGTTGCAGTTACAGGTAGTTGTGAGCCAACCAATGTGAGTTCTGGGAAACGTTATCTGGAAGATTCATACACACTACCTGCTGAGCCATCTCTCCAGCCCTCCTTGCCTTTTGACTCAGGCTCTCATATAGTCCAGGCTGGTTTTGAATTCGCTTTGTAGCCAAAGAATGACTTTGAACTCTGGACCTTGCTGCCTCCACCTTGTCCTCTCCTCCTCTCCCCGGATTGTACAGGCTAGTTGCCGCATCAGGCTCAGACCAATTGTGTTGCTTTTAAATTTTTCTAGGACTGCTTTTAACTGAATGATAATGAAATTCCCTCTTCTTGATCTTCACACACACAAAGGGTAAATTGTTACCCAGCTGTTTTTCTTTTGTTCCCCTGCACCAACTTTGTAAATACCTTCTAAACAATCCAGTGGTTTGTCTTTGCTTTCCTCTGTGCTCTTTTCATAGATCTAAGACCACTTTTGATACTCTGCTCACTGGAACATTTGTTCTATCAGGTATTGCCTGACTCTAGAATTGAGGATGAAGTCAGCTAAGATCGTGACACTAATTGTTTCAATTTCGTCCTGTGACACTTTCTGATCTTGGCACCCAGAGCTGTGGACTGAATGAATAAAAGCCCCAGGAGAGCACAGTCCAGCGCCGCCGAACTTCTAGTCTGGGGTCAGGATGCGGAAAGGCGCTCAAAAGAGATTTGCGGAATGAATGAGCGAGACAAACGAAAGGGAAACCACTCCTTTACCAAAATGGCCGCGTGTCCCTTTACCAACGCGGCGGTCCCCGGCCGCTAGGGCGGGGCCGAGGTGGGCGGGGCCAGAGAACCGTCAGGTGCGGCCCCGCCCTCCTCTGCCCTCACTTGATTCCGGATTGGTCCGGTTCCAGCGCCGCAGCAGGCCGCGGGCTGAGGCCGCCTGGTGCTCGCCACTTCCGGCGCGCTGGGCTGTTGGCTGGGGGTGGCCGCGCGGGGCGAGTGGCGGCTGCGGGCGGCGCGCAGGGATGCAGAGCGGGGCCGCCGCGAGGACAGAGGAGGCGAGAACTGCGCGGGCCCGCGGGCCTCTGTCCTGAGCCGGCCGCGCCGCCCAGGCCCGGGCAGCCTCCGCCCCTTCAGCCCGGGCCCGGCCCGTCGCCGCCTCGGGCCGCGGAGGCCGGGGAGTCCCTGCCTGGGCCCGCAGCCTCCCTCCTGGGGGTCGGGCCCAGGCGGGGGGCCCCCGCACAGCTGTCTCCTTGCCCCGTTTCCTGCTTTTGCGTTTGCCTGGGGTGGGCTGAGGTCTGGATGAATCGCTTCGGGGGTCCTTGATGAGGTCGCCGTGCTCCTTTTGAAGGTGCCGGCGGGGCCCGGGTGGGAAACGGGTTGTCTTTGCATGGGCGGGGGACTCCCCGAGCCTGCCGGGACCATGACCTGAACTGTGCGAGCGGGACGCGTCAAGAGCCAGCTCACCTGAGCCACCCCCTCCCCGGCCAGCATGGTGAGTGGGGTCAGGGACCCGGTTGGAGGGGTGGTAGTGGGCCTCGGGGCAGCTGAGCTCTCGCTTCTCCCTGGGGCGGAGAGAGGCGCGTGCGAGCCTGGCGGGTGACACATGCGTGCAGGGTGTGCAACCGGCTGTACGCTCCCATCCCCCCTCCCCGATCACTGGATGTCTCGAATCTAGGAGGGAGGACCTTGGAAACGCTGCGGGTACGACCCTCCTGCCTCCCTGTTTGCTGTGTTCCTAGTGCAGTGAGTCGTGATTACCAGTATCATTTATTTATTGATGGTGTACTGTGTGCCATTTCCTTTGCTAAGTGATTGCATATATTTAGTTATTACACCAAGCCTTGGAAATGGGGAGACTGAGGCACGGAGCGGTTAATTACTCTGCCCAAGGTCAAGCGACTACTCTGGGACAGTGGCAGGATTTGAACATAAGCAGTCTGTTATTAAAGAACTGGCTGGACATTTAGGGAACATTCTGCCCATCTGTAGGTTTGCATTTGGAGAAACCAAGAGTGAGATTTGCAGAGGTTACTGATACAGATGATGGCAGAATCAGCAGTGGCATCTTTGGACATTTTGGCCACTGTTTTTTTCTGCTTAATGTTCTGGCCTTTTCCCTGGAAAACTGTGTATACTTTCAGATCCAGCTCGAAAACTTTAGCCCCTTCTTTGGGCTTGTGTACTCACAGTAGTTTGTTGAGCACTTAGCTTTTGCCATTATAGTGTTTCTGAGTCTTATCTGCCCATCACGGTAGGCAAGGTGAAGTTAGTTGTCTGATTCCTTATCTGCCTCAATTTGGCATGTAGCATGTGATGAGTGGTTGATTGCCCAGCCTGGGTTTGAACATCTCCAGGGATAGCCGCCCCCTCCCCCATTGCTTGGCTGGTTAGTGTTATATTGGAGATATAGTCGTTGGCAGTTTTTTTTAATGCACATGTTAGACTAGACTGTCTTGAGGGGTGGGTGGATGGTGTGTAACTTATTGTGTCCTCCTGGGTTTACAAGCAAGCTGGGTAAAATACACTATGAAAGCTGCATGGCATGACATAATTTGTATGGTGGGTACTGTATATGGTGTAAAATACTGTAAGAGGTAACAGAGCTGTTTAGCTCTGAGTTTGTCTGTACAATGTAGAAATGCTCTCTGAAAATGGAACATCTATGAATTCTCACATTCATTCAATACTCTTATAAAATGTTTGAATTTAATCCCCTTCCCCCAAAGACTATGTAGGTGGAACTCACTGTGTGGACCAGGCTAGAACTCACAGAGATCCACCAGCCTCTGTCTCCCAGGTGCTGGGATTAAAGGTGGGCCACTGTATTCAGCTAAAATTTTGTTGAATTTTAAAAAATTGTTTAATTTTATGTTTATTGGTGTGAGGGTATCAGATACCCTGGAACTGGAATTACAGACAGTTGTGAGCTGCCATGTGGGTGCTGGGAATTGAACCCAGGTCCTTTGGAAGAGCAGCCAGTGCTCTTAACACTGAGCCATCTCTCCAGTTCCAAATATTTGAGTTTTAAAATTGTGATTAAAATACACTTAACCACTTAAATGAATTTACAGTTCACTTGCATTAAGTGCATTTATATTGTGTAGTTGTCATGATCTATATCTCCAGAAAATTTTCATCTCCCCAAACTGAAACATTGTATTCTGAAATATTAACCCCCTGCTCCTTCCTTTAGTAGTTCTTCTCCCCTGGACTCCCAGCCATTTCCCTTTCTGTTTCTATCCTTCTAGCCCTCCCCCCTTTCTTTATAGAAGAGTATTCTCTTTTTATGACTGGCTTATTTCATTTAGTGGAGTGTCTTCAAGGTTTATCTGTAACGTAGGGTGTGAAGAATTTCCTCCAGTCTTTGTGAATGCACCATTTCTGCTTGCCCATTCATCCCTCTGGATACCTGGTTTGCTTTGGCTACTGTATGAATATGAGTATTTAAGATTATTTTTACTTAATGTTCGTTGGTGTTTCGCCTGCATGTATGTCTGTGTGAGGGTGTCAGAAGCCCTGGAACTGAAGTTACAGACAGATGTGTGCTGCCACATGGGTGCTGGGAATTGAACTTCGGTCTTTCAGGAGAGCAGTGCTCTTAACTGCTGAGCCATCTCTCTATCTCCAAGTGTACGAATCTTCTGGTTAGTTTAAATAGCCTTCATATGCTACACCCTAGAGAATGTACTTAGAGCGAGATAGACAATGTCTTGCCCTCAGGGAACTTAGTATGTTGCTGGGACAGAATTTGTGTACAGTAGAGCTAGCCAGTCACCCTTGTGCTCAGGATTCATCTAATTGACAGTAGGGCATTAAGAGCATGATTGATTATCTTTGAATAATTAATTTGAAGCTGTAGATTTTTGTATGTAAACCTCAATTTAAGCATGCAGGAAGTATTGGGTGTGAGACCAATAGGATCTACTGTCTTGACCCTAATGGTTCATCTGCCATTGTTCCAGAGGAAGAAGGTCAAGGGGTAGTGTGGTCTTTGTCGGCTAAGTCAGGAAGCCACTGCTTGGTTTGTGCCTGACAGGACAAGGGTCTTTTATTGGGAATCATAGCCTTTTATTTCAATAATTCTTTTTCTCTTCATTTATACCAACTTATAGTTGACTCTGGAGGTTGAAAGGTGATTGTATTCCAGGCAGGCTCTTGAACTTACTGTATTGCCCAGGTAGTCCTGAACTCCTGTCTCTCCTGCCTGAGCCTTCTGTGGTGATATAGGTGTGTGCCAGTAGACCTGGTTACCTTATGACCTTTAAGATAAGTGTTGATCTAAGTTTATGTGTTTTAAATGTCTTTTTTAATGAGTAAAATAGCATAACAGATAAAAATTAATTTCTGACTAGATGTGGTGGTTCATACCTGTAATCCTAGTATTTTGATGACTCAGCAGGATGATTGCTAAGAGTTTGAGGCCTTCTTGGACTGAGTAGGTCAGCCTGCACTCTGAAACCCTTCACCATATGTCAGTTATTTTTATGTACTGCTTTTCACCAGGTTGCCACTAGCATTGGGGAAGGTAAACAGATCTAGGATGCCTGTTAGGACGGGGTGGAGCTCTGTTGAAGACCTCTACATTTTGTTGCAACTATGCTACCTCACGGCACGGGAAGGGTAATTGGCAGTGTCACTCAGTTACCCAATTGCTTTGCTGGCTTCTGAGATTGGCAGTAGTGGGACATGGGAATAACTGAATTAAAAATGAACAAAATTATCACTGTAGCAGGGGGGACCTTGATCTGAAAATTTATTACCAGTTAAAAAGATTTATAGTTACACAGCAGAGTTACTGAACGGCAAGTTGTATTCAGCTCCCTTTAAAATTTTTTTTTAACATTTATTTTATGTGTATGGATGTTTTATCTGCATGTTTATCTGGGTACTGCATGTGGAGCTGGTGCTAGCAGAGGTCAGAAGAGGGCATCATATCCCTTGGAACTGGAGTTTTATGTGGGTGCTGGGAGCTAAATCCAGGTCCTCTTCAAGAGCAGGCACTTAAGTACTCACTCAGACTGCATCAGTTTTGGTTTTCTAAAGTTTTATTTATTTACTTATTTTCCTTCTCCTTTGGTGCTGAGAGTTGAACTGAAGCCTCACACATGCTAGGCAAGCCCTCCATCACTGAGCTATGTTCCAAGCCTTAATTCTGCAGTTCTTGAGAGATGTAACATGTTAGCAGTTTCTACTAATCTTTCTGAAAAGCTGGTCCTCAGTATTGAATGAGTTGCTGTTTTATATAGAAATTTTGTGCAAGATTGAGCCCTTGCTTAAATTAGAAATCTCTTTTTTTGTACAGTGGTGTGTGTGTGTGTAGGTGTCTTCTTATGTATTCCTAGTATTTGCTATGTTTATGTAAACTGGACTGTGTAGACTAGTGACTTTGAATTTGTAAAAAGAGACAGGTATGTGTCACCACCATCGAGCTGGCACCCCCCACCCCCCATTGCTTAAGATGGCTTAGTGTGTAAAAGTGCTTGCCACGAAAGCCTGATGACCCAAGTTCAGTTCCTGGAACCCACAGAAGAAAGGGAAGGACCAACTCCTGAATGTTGACCTCCACATATGTGTCATGAGAGCATTTACCCGCACTCATTCACACCTCCTTCCCTCTGTCCCCCCCCCCACACACACTGGAGTGGGTTTAGGAAGATTTCTCAGTTGGAAGAGTACTTGATGTGCAAACATGGTGCCCTACGTTTAGTTCCCAGAACCCACTTAAAAAACAGTTGTGATCCCAGTGCTGGTGATGCTTGGATAGCAGATCCTTAGCCTGGCTAGCTTCTTGGCAAACTCCAGGCCAGTGAAGGACTTTGTATCAAAAGCAAGGTATCCACTGGGGAATGACACCTGTGCTTGATATCTGGCCTTCACAGGCATGTATATACATGTCCTCTTGCACTTGTACATGCATATGCACCCCCAAGTTGTATTGATTAAAACAATTTTTCTAGTGTGATACCTGCAATGATGACAAAATTAGATCATTCACACCTGGTGTGTTGTACTGTACACCATGATGTGGGAGGCCTTACCATGCCTTGGCCACTTTTCTTTTTAATTGCTTTGGGAGTTCGCCTACATGTATGTCTGTTTGAGAATGCCAGATGCCCTGGAAGCAGAGTTACAGATAGCTGTGAGCTGCCATGTGGGTCCTGGGAATTGATCCTAGGTCTTCTGGGAGAACAGCTAGTGCTCCTAACCACTCAGCCATCTCTCCAGCCCTGACAACTTTTTCTGTTTTATGATTTGGATGTGGATGTGGGTGTGTGCATGTCATTGTGCATGTGTGGAGGTCACAGGACACTTCAGGAGCCCTTCTCTTCTCTCTCCTGATTGAGGGAGGCCCTTTTTTGGTTCTGCTGTTGGGCTGTGTGGTCTTTCATTTTCTGGGTGAGTCTCTTCTCTTTGCCTCCCATGTCACTATAGGAGTGCTGGGATTAACACATATGTGCCACCATAGCTGGTCTTAGATGTGGGTTTTGGGGTTTGAACTCAAGTTGTCAGGCTTGTGGAATTGGCCTCTTTACCCTCCTGAGAGAACTTT